ACACTTGAATCCGTGGAACAAAGAACTTACGCAGTCAACTATTTCTTGGTTGCTTAATACCGAAGTCACTCCGTCCGACACCAAAACCAGAAAGGCCGTGTCACCCCCTTTTACCGTGTTGATCACAATCTCTGGTTCAGCTGATATCCCATATTTTTTCATTCTCGAATCCCCCATTGCTCGAGTATTTGCTAATCTTCCTAAAAACATTTCCGAACCAAACGAATCAGTGATGATATATCCCCCTGATTTCCTCAATCGGTCATGTTCTGTAATGGCACTTGGATGATGATCAAAAGTTAATGAAATGGCATTTCCTGAAGGCACATCGCATAATAATGCACGAGTGTCACCGACATGCGCAATTGCAATTTCCAATTCTTGACCGGACCAAAAAGGATGACCGTCCAAAGTTCTGATGAGGGCAACCGTTGCCGTAGATCCGACCGAATGTGGAATGGATTCCATGAGTTCCAAGTCGATTTTTAAGAATGCCACGGTGAGCCTCTGTTCTAGCGTGAGCTCGGTCGGCAATGAGGTTTCTGATAGATCAGATGACGACGGTGTCAAAGATGATAACGGTGGCAAAGATGATAACGGTGGCGAAGATGATAACGTGGTGGACGTGTATTTTCTTGAGGCCTTACGTTCGCCAGAACCGTCACTAGTTCGTAATGTACGATTCTTGATGTTCGGTTGTATCGTTTCAGGACTTAATAACGGTGCTAACACAGGTGGGCGAAATTTCCGAAAGTATCTATTTTTTATCAATTTTGGGTACTTTAATGGATGTATGCGTGTCATTATTCAATATAAATGCCCGAGAGAACACTGTCAATTACCCTCCGATGTTTCTCCATCGTAATACAACATCATCGGCATCTGAAACTTGAACATCTTCAATCCGTTTATGGAGGCTAGCAGTCAAGTAATCTGCACATTGGAGTCCCCCGTGACTAATTAATTATTCGAATCAGACCAAAAAAAAAAAAAATGGAGGAGCATCGATTGATATAAAATATAATATATTCAGTGACAAAGACCAGATACACAATAAAACACACCCATCAAATATAGCAAAATAACATATTTGGTTTTTTTTGCCTTCCTCTTCATGCAATTTTGTTCCATTTCCCAAAATGCTTTGTTCTTTACTATCACTTTCGCTATCGTTCAAATCTAGTACTAAAGCTTGATAACTGTCTTCATTAGATTCCCTTATCCCTCGCGTTGTTCTAAATTAGAAAGAGGTGCTTAATAAGAAAGCTTTTCTGAGCTCAGGAAATAGTAAAAATAAAAACTATTCCCATCAACCTGATGCCAACTAAATGCCTCGATTTTGCAAGATGCAACCTATAATTTTCCCCTTTAGGTGATTTTGCAAGATAGTAATCTCCCGACCTCTTTACAGTAGTTTGAGTAATGAATCGGGTACTACGCTGAAATAGGTTAAAAAGACGGTACTCAATAAAGGTGTATGGGAATGTTGATACAACGAAATTTCGTGCAAATGCACGATGAAACCTGGTCATACTCAAGATTGTATTTTAGAGATAGTAACCATCTTGTATTTACCAAAACTAAAGGTCACGTGGTGTCTTCGTTACATAAAATATAAACTTTT